AGCTGAAGATGTCTTCTTTCGAAACTTGTGTAGAGTTTAAAAATTTTATATAAAAAGTTTTGAGAAAAAAATTAATTACTTTTATTAGATAACTTAATTCGATTAAAAATGGATTCATTTTCAAAAAATCATAACTTCTTTATTTTTAAAAATATAGAATCGATTTATGTCTCAAATTAAAGCTGAAGATGTCTACTTTCGAAATCTGTATAGTATTTAAAAATTTTATATAAAAAAGTTTTGAGAAAAAAATTAATTTCTTTTACTAGATAATTTAACTCAATTGAACAATAGTTAATTTTAAAAAAATCATAACTTCTTTATTTATGAAAGTGGAGAGTCGATTTATGTTTCAAATTAAAGCTGAAGATGTCTACTTTCGAAATATGTGTAGCATTTAAAAATTTTATATAAAAAAAATTTGAGAAAAAAATTAATTACTTTTATTGGATAACTAAATTCAATTAAAAAATAGGTCATTTTCAAGAAATCATAACTTCTGTACTTATGATAATGAAGTATCGATTTATGTCTCAAATTAAAGCTGAAGATGTCTTCTTTCGAAACCTGTATAACATTTAAAAATTTTATATAAAAAAGTTTTGAGAAAAAAATTAATTTCTTTTTACTAGATAATTTAACGCAATTGAAAAGTAATTAATTAAAAAAAACTCATAACTTCTTTATTTATGAAAGTGGAGAGTCGATTTATGTCTCAAATTAAAGCTGAAGATGTCTAGTTTCGAAATCTGTGTAGCATTTAAAAGTTTTATATAAAAAAGTTTTGAGAAAAAAATTTATTTCTTTTACTAGATAATTTAACGCAATTTAAAAGTAGTTAATTAAAAAAACTCATAACTTCTTTATTTATGAAAGTGGAGAGTTGATTTATGTCTCAAATTAAAGCTGAAGATGTCTAGTATCGAAATCTGTGTAGCATTTAAAAATTTTATATAAAAAAGTTTTGAGAAAAAAATTTATTTCTTTTATTAGATAATTTAATTTGATTGAAAAATAGTTAATTTTCAAAAAATCATAACTTCTTTATTTATGAAAATAAGAAAGTGATTTATGTCTCAAATTAAAGCTGAAGATGTCTTCTTTCGAAATCTGTATAGCATTTAAAACTTTTGTATAAAAAAGTTTTGAGAAAAAAATTAATTTTTTTTATTAGATAACTTATTTGGATTGAAAAATAGTTAATTTAAAAAAAATCATAACTTCTTTATTTATGACAATGCAGAAGCATTTTATGTTTCAAATTAAAGCTGAAGATGTCTACTTTCGAAATCTGTATAGTGTTTAAAAATGTTATATAACAAAGTTTTGAGAAAAGAATTAATTACATTTATTAGGTAATTTAAAATCGATTAAGATATAGTTAATTTTAAAAAAATCATAACTTCTTTATTTATGAAAATGAAGATACATTTTATGTCTTAAATTAAAGCTGAAGATGTCTACTTTCGAAATCTGTATAGTATTTAACAATTTTATATAAAAAAGTTTTGAGAAAAAAATTAATTTCTTTTATTAGATAATTTAATTTAATTGCAAAATAGTTAATTTTCAAAAAATCATAACATTTTTATTTATGAAAATGAAGATACGATTCATGTCTCAAATGAAAGCCGAAAATGTCTACTTTCGAAACGTACATAAAGTTTAAAAACTTAATATAAAAAAATTTAAAGAAAACCAATAATTATTGAATACCCGTTACTCTATATATAAATTTTAGTTTTATTTATGGAAAATTTTTTCTCCCATTTTAGCGATGTTATATAGTTATTAGTAACCGCGATTTCCCCATCTCACATTATATCAACTAAAATAATCTTATCTTACGCGATTATTCGATAACATCTGCCTCGTTTTTTGATTGCACCGAAACTGCATTTTTAGTTTTTAATCAAAAACGGTTAGCGGTGCATCATCGATTGTAAGTCACTTTTTATTTCCATTTTTTTAACCCATTTTCATTCATATACCCGTAGATATAGAGAAACATCGATACAAATACACACTGATAAAACAAATTATTCAGATCGCATTAATTATTTCGAATCCATTAATTATTTACAATTATTAATCGAATTGTTAAGTATTAGTTTAACCGGAAGTTGAAGTATTTGAAAGAGGGTTTTTTTTTAATCGGCGGAAACGCGAAATTGGCGCGGACAACGTTTAGACCCCAATTTAAACAACAAGTGGTTCAACCCTTTCCGTTCAAATCTTTTTTGTTTTCGTTTTTATTCTTTTCTCTCTCGTTTGTTACGTTTTTTTTATGTTGAGTTGAGGGTGTATTTCTAACTCTTTTTAAAAGTTTCTTTGGAACATCTGTTTCTTTTATGGCATGTGTTGAAAAACAAAGTTATTTATTTTTTGATGAATTGATTTAGATAAAGGAAACTATCTAAAAGTGTTTCTTGTGCAATATCCTATTGATATTGGTCTATTTAGAGATAGTAGCAAGTAGATATTAAACAATTCCATTTTTTCTTAACGCTGCCGGATTTTAATCAACTGCAGAGGAACACCTCTTCATCAGCGATTTCCGAACGAACCTTGGAAGAATGCTGGACGACCCTACAACGAGTGAGTTGGATACTTTTCGACCGTGTAGTGTATTATTCCAATGGAAAGTCCCCCCAAACAATTATTTACCCAAATCCTCTCAGTAGTAGATATTTTTCTTTTTCTGTCTAATTTTTTCTAACATTTTTTCTATAGATCGGTTTTTCGTTCGTTTTTTTTGTTTAATTTTTAATTTAACGTTTTTTTATGTTATTTTTGTGTTCTTATCGATGTTTTTTACTCTCGTTAATAAAAGAATTATTAACTTACAAACTTAGGTCGAGCTTTTGCTTCACAAAGAACCTTTTCGACCACACCTTGTACGTTAATTTTCTTTTTGTAACTCGCATGCTATTTCAATGTAATTTTTTCGACAAATCCCATATTATTTAATCGGTAATTTTAAAAAATTACCCAAAAATAAAACTAAACAAACATAAAATCGACTAAACGAATTTTATGAACGAAAGTATATAATTAAGATTGACATTTCGATTTTGGGGTATTGGAAAATGTCAATAATAAGAAAAGGTAGGTAGACAAAGATACAAATTAACACGACACTATTTATTTTATTAGCATTAATATTAACACACCAAAAAGTTTTTGCGAAACACGAAAAATTTTTTATAAGAATGAGTTGAAAGTGTTTTAAGTTGTAATCCCCTTTTCATCGCGATATAGATTCACCCTTCGATTATGACCAATTGACGGGGACCCTCATTTTTTGGGGAAGCACCCTCTTTAGTGGACGACGCCCCGCAAAAAATGGTGATCGATAATAAAGAGTTTTTTTTAAAAATGGGGTTCGTTAGGTCACCAATTCAATCAAAAATTGCCGTCTCATAAACTAAGCGAGATATCCGAATAAAAACGGTTACATTTTAATCCTAAATGATCAAAGCTAATCTACCGAAAAAATTATTAAAATCGCTCGACTCAATTTTGAGAAAAACATTTTTTAACGTACCAAAAAAAAAAGTGTCAAAACATCGAATTCAATCAAAAATTAATATCTTAAGAAGTAATTAAGATATTCAAACAAAAATGGTTACATTTTAATCATAAATGAATTTCACGTAAAAAAGTACTTTTAATAAAAAGTTGTAATGTTAACCGTTTCAAAGTTATTAAGAATTTTTTTGTAAAAATGCAATAATTCAAAAGCTGATAACTTCTGTTAAATTAGCTCAAATTTAATTCTGAGTACTTTTTTGAATTCGTCAAAGTATTTTACGTAAAAAAGTACTGTTGATTAAAAATTGTGTGAGCAACGGATCTCGAAATAAAAAAGATTTTGTGCTAATAAATACTAAAAACCCCGAAAATTAGAGATATCTTTATTGTGCGCTTTATAGCATCTACTACATTAACTAAATTGTATGTTTGAGAGCTTCTTTGAACTAATTGGAGTATTTTTCGTAAAAAAGTACTGTTAATAAAAAGTTGTAATACCAACCGTTTGGAAGTTATGAAGAATTTTTTTGTAAAAACGTAATAATTGAGGATATCATCATTCTTCAGCTTATAACTTCTGTTACATTAACTCAATTTTAATTCTGAGTACATTTTTGAATTCTTCGAAGTATTTTACGTAAAAAAGTATTTTTAAGTAAAATTTGTGTGAGTAATGGATTTCGAGATAAAAAAGATTTTGTGCTAATAAACACTAAAAACCCCTAAAATTAGAGATATCTTTATTGTGCGCTTTATAGCATCTACTACATTAACTAAATTATATTTTTGAGAGCTTCTTTGAATTAATTGGAGTATTTTACGTAAAAAAGTACTCTTAATAAAAAGTTGTAATACCAACCGTTTGGAAGTTATAAAGAATTTTTTTATAAAAACGTAATAATTGAAGATGTCACATTCTGCAGCTTATAACTTCTGTTATATTAACTCAATAATAATTCTGAGTACATTTTTGAATTCTTCGAAGTATTTTACGTAAAAAAGTACTTTTAAGTAAAATTTGTGTGAGCAATGGATTTCGAGATAAAAAAGATTTTGAGCTAATAAACATTAAAAACCACTAAAATTGGAGATATCTTATTGTATGCCTTATAGCATCTACTACATTAATTAAATTATATTTTTGGAAGCTTCTTTGAATTAATTAGAGTATTTTACGTAAAAAGTACTCTTAATAAAAAGTTGTAATGCCAACCGTTTGGAAAATATAAAAAATTTTTTTGTAAAAACACAATAATTGACAATTTTATCATTCTGGAGCTTATAATTTCTGTTATATTAACTCAATTTTAATTCTGAGTATATTTTTGAATTCCTTGTAGTTTTTTACGTAGAAAAGTACTTTTGAGTAAAAATTGTGTGAGCAACGGATCTCGAGATAAAAAACATTTTGTGCTAACAAACAATAAAAAAAATCCCCTAAAATTAGAGATATCTTCATTGTGCGCCTTCTAACATTTACTACATAAACTAAATAATATTTTTGAGAGCATCCTTGAATTAATTGGAGTATTTTACGTAAAAAAGTACTCTAAATAAAAAGTTGTAATACCAACCGTTTGGAACTTATAAAGAATTCTTTTTAAAAATGCAATAATAGAGGATATCATCATTCTGCAGTCTATAACTTTTGTTACATTTACTCAATAATAATTCTGAGTANTATTATATAAAAAAATTTTGAGAAAAACATTAATAATTACAATGATGTTTATTAGTTAACACATAAAAACGATTAAAAAATGGTTAATTTTCAAAAAATCATAACTTCTTTATTTATGGAAGTGGAGAATCGATTTATGTCTCAAATTAAAGCTTAGGATGTCTTCTTTCGAGACGTATATAAAGTTTAAAAATTTTGTATAAAAAAGTTTTGAGATAAAATGTAATAAACGTAATGATGTTAATTACTTTATCTAAAAAAATTGAGAAATAGATGATTTTCAAAAAATCATAACTTCGGTATTTGTGAAAATAAAGAAATGATTTATGTTTTAAATTAAAGCTTCTCTCGAAACATGTGTTACACGTAAAAAGTTATATAAAAAAATTTTGAAGAAAAAGGTATAAGTATGATGATGTTTCTTACTTAACCTAAAAAGGATTTAAAAATAGTTAATTTTAAAAACATCATAACTTCTTTAATTATAAAAATAAAGAAACGATTCATATCTCAAATTAAAGCTTATAATGTCTTCTTTCAAAGCGTATATACTGATTAAAAATTTTATACAAAAAAATTTTGAATAAAACATTAATAATTACAATGGTGTTTATTAGGTAACACATAAAAACGATTAAAAAATGGTTAATTTTCAAAAAATCATAACTTCTTTATTTATGGAAGTGAAGAAAAGATTTATGTCTCAAATTAAAGCTTAGGGTGTCTTCTTACGAGACGTATATAAAGTTTAAAAATTTTGTATAAAAAAGTTTTGAGATAAAATGTAATAAATGTAATGTTGTTAATTACTTTATCTAAAAAAATAGAGAAATAGATGATTTTCAAAAAATCATAACTTCGGTATTTGTGAAAATAAAGAAATGATTTATGTTTTAAATTAAAGCTTCTGTCGAAACATGTGTTACACGTAAAAAGTTATATAAAAAAATTTTGAGGAAAAAGGTAATAAGTATGATGGTGTTTGTTACTTAACCTAAAAACGATTTAAAAGTAGTTAATTTTAAAAACATCATAACTTCTTTATTTATAAAAATAAAGAAACGATTTATGTCTTAAATTAAAGTTTAGGATGTCTTCTTTCGAAACATGTGTAACACATAAAAATTTTATATAAAAAAGTTTTGAGGAAAACATTAATAATTACAATGATATTGATTAGTTAACACATAAAAACGATTAAAAAATGGTTAATTTTCAAAAAATCATAACTTCTTTATTTATGGAAGTGGAGAATCGATTTATGTCTTAAATTAAAGCTTAGGATTTCTTCTTTCGAGACGTATATAACGTTTAAAAATTTTGTATAAAAAAGTTTTGAGATAAAATGTAATAAATGTAATAATGTTAATTACTTTATCTAAAAAGATTGAGAAATAGATGATTTTCAAAAAATCATAACTTCGATATTTATGAAAATAAAGAAATGATTTATGTTTTAAATTAAAGCTTAAAATCTGTTCTTTCGAAACATGTGTAAGACGTAAAAAAGTTATATAAAAAAATTTTGAGGAAAAAGGTAATAAGTATGATGGTGTTTGTTACTTAACTTAAAAACGATTTAAAAATAGTTAATTTCAAAAACATCACAATTTCTTTATTTATGAAAATAAAGAAACGATTTATGTCTTAAATTAAAGTTTAGGATGTCTTCTTTCGAAACATGTGTAACACATAAAAATTTTATATAAAAAAGTTTTGAGGAAAAAAGTAATAAGTATGATGATGTTAATTACATAACCTAACAAGAAATTAAAAAATAGTTATTTTTCAAAAAAACAACTTTCGTATTTATGATAATAAATAAATGATTTACGTTGTAAATTAAAGCTTAGAATCTGTTCTTTCGAAATATGTGTAACACGTAAAAAAGTTATATAAAAAAATTTTGAGGAAAAAGGTAATAAGTATCATGATGTTTTTTACTTAACCTAAAAACGATTTAAAAATAGTTAATTTTAAAAACAGCATAACTTCTTTATTTATAAAAATAAAGATACAATTTATGTCTCAAATTAAAGCTTATAATCTCTTCTTTCGAAACGTATATACTGATTAAAAATTTTNGATATCATCATTCTGCAGTCTATAACTTTTGTTACATTTACTCAATAATAATTCTGAGTAAATTTTTGAATTCTTCGAAATATTTTACGTAAAAAAGTACTTTTAAATAAAACTTGTATCAATAACAGATCTCGAGATAAAACAGATTTTGTGCTAATAAACACTAAAAACCCCTAAAATTAGAGATATCGTCATTGTGCGCTTTATAACATCTACTATATTAACTAAATTATACTTTTGAGAACTTTTTTGAATTAGTTGGAGTATTTTACGTAAAAAAGTACTCTTAATAAAAAGTGTTAATACCAACCGTTTGGAAGTT